GAGAGTGAGCTGTTGAAACTGGAGGAGACCGATTCCCAAGCATCATTTGAGCACCTGGATCCAGCCAGGCCCGAAGCAGATGCTTTACAGTCACAAGGTTTTGTTGGGTTTTGCTCCATTTGATCTGGGTTCCTGACCCCCAATAACAATAAAATTTCCTGGACGATAATCTCACTGACACTTTATACAAGTGCTGCTATGTGCCTACAGTCAAAGGCGCGCTACAAGTTCTGACAGCTCAAATAGAACCTTCCATGCTGCACTCAGGCAGGAAACTTCAAAGTAAAACAGTGGCTCAAAAGAGAATAGATTTAGACTAAGACAGGTAGTGAGAAATTAGAGAAATGGGAAATAAAAAGCCCTTCAGCTACAGTCGCCAACCCCACTGCCAGCTACAGCTGCAAACTCAACTCATTTCCAACTACAACTGCAAACACCACCTCCAGCTACAGCCGCCAACCCCACTGCCAGCTACAGCCACAGACCCCACTGCCAGGTACAGCCGTGGTTCTCAACCTTCCTAAGGAAGTTCCAGCCCTTTAACACAGTTCCTCGTGTTGTGGGGACCTCCCCCCACCCCCAACCATACAATTACTTTCGTTGCTACTTCATAACTTTTTTTGAATTTTCCCACTGTTATGAATTGTAATGTAAACATCTGTGTTTTCCGATGGTCTTTTGGGGTCACGACCCACATGTTGAGAAACGCTGAGCTATTACTGACAGCTACAGAGCACAAACCCACTTTCCTGCTTTAGAAGTTATACCATGGAAACATTCCAAAGTTCTCCAGAAAACTTTCCAGACAAAGGAATGAGTGAGTGCCTTTTATAACAAGCCAGTGTTCACGCACTGGATATTAACGATCCAGGGTATTTACCTGTTACCTCAATGGGGCTAGATTGTGATGTATGCAAATGTGCACATTTGCATATGTATATCCGCAGTTGCTGTTTTAAAGAAACAGTGGAAAGAGTGTTCAAAGTCTGTTTTTCTTTTTCTCACTTCTCAGTTAGCGGAGTAAATTATTAACTAGCACAGCCCTTGGCAAACAGCAGGGACTCAGCATGCACGAATCCCTCCTTCTCTCTCTGCCTGTTTTTAAATTCTTCTTTGAAAAACCGAGTGAAGCAGGAGGAAGCCTGGCAGAGCATGGCCGGTGGAGGTTGGTAAACTCATAGCAAGGCAGGTAGTAAGTATTTTTTACTTTGTCCATGGACCAGGAAAGTAAACAAAGTCAGAACCCACATGAACAGGCAAGACCTTGCCCCAATAAAACAGTGGTTCGCAACCTTCCTAATGCTTCAGCCCTTTGATACAGTTCCTTATGTTGTGCTGACCCCAGATAAAACTATTTTCGCTGCTACTTTATCACTGTAATTTTGCTACTGTTATGAATCATAATGTAAATGTCTGTGCTTTCCAATGGTTTTAGGTAACCCCTGTGAAAGGGTGGTTTGCCCCCCACCCCCACAGGCACACACACACTCATGCATGCATGAGCCTGAACACACATGCAAATAAAAATAAAATAAAAATCGTTTTAAGAAACGAAATAGACAAATGTAGGCAGCAAAGGACAAGCCAAGGCCCAGGTGCCGTGTGGGGATGCACCCACCTGGTCCCTCAGCCAGTGAGGAAGGAGGGAGAGGAATTACTCTGGGGTTATACCAACTGTTCTCTGCGCTTGGTCAGGTGTTGGCCATGCTGGCCTAATGTTGGGACTTGCAAAGTTGTAAAATATACTTCTTTGCTTGTAGTAGTCTGAGTCAGTGCTCTTATCGTGGAGTGGGGAGGGGACACATTTCTCACGCTTGGGACAGGAGTTTGCTGACCTGTCCCCTCTGGTTAAGGGGACAGGATTTAACACTAAGCAATACTGGGTGCAGCTTTTTGTCCTTTTTGTCTTGACAAGTGGTGAGTGTGTGACTGTGAGCCTCAGCTATTAGGGGTGACTACCTGCATCGCAAAAATTGAATGAGAGACTGTCCATGAAGTGCCGGGTCCCTTTCCTGGTGTTTACCACTCCTTAACACTGGCTACCGGCACCACTGTCATTATCAACCAAGGGAGGAAGAGAACGACCAGGGTTGCCGGGGACTGTAGCAGCGCTCTGGGCAGAAGCCGCGGCAGAAGAGGAAGCCTGTGTCTCAAGGGTGTTTGCTTCCATCATAGAGGCGTCCCTTTCCATCCCGTGCCGTGTCAGCCCTGGCAACACAGGCTGCTGCAGGTTCGGGGGATGTGGTAGGGATGTGGTGAGGCGTGTGGCTTGAGCTTTCACATCACCAGAGTGCACCGGGTTCTGGCCAAGTCCTCCTAGATAGAGCCCAGGAGATCTGGCCATGACTGAGAGGAAACCTAGGGGCTAGGGAGATGGCTTGGTGGGTAACATGCTTGCTGCATGCAAGTTTGAAGACCCCAGTTCATATCCCCAGAACCCATGTGAAGCCTGATGTGGTAGTGTACATCTGTAATCCCAGCACTTCAAAGGTTAGACAGGGTGTGGTAACAGAGGATTTCTCCAAAGTCCATGGGCCAGCTAGTCTGGTATACACAGTGATGTATAAGAGATCCTGTCTCAAGCAAGTGGAAGGCAAGAAACAACACCTGAGGTTGTCCTCTGACCTCTACCATGGTGTACACACACACACACACACACACACACACACACACACACACACACACACATGGGGGTCGGGGGGACAGAAAGCTGGGAAAACTGAGTCCTTGTAGGCCTTATCTATACCAGCATGGGGGGCAGGGGATCCTTATGTATCTATAGAAACCCAAGAGGAGAAAAAAGAGCCCATGACTCACATGGATCTGCTTGGCAGAAATTAGAAACAGAAGCCCAGAAGGTTAACTAAGGGCTGGGGATGTGGCTCAGGTAGTGGGGTGCTTCTCTAGCATGAATTAAGCCCTGGGTTGCATCCCTAGCACCACATAAACCACATGTGGTGGTGCACACCTGTAACCCCAGCACTTGAGAAGTAGAGGAAGGAGGATCAGAAGTTTAAAGACATCCTTGGCTACATAATGAGTTCAAGGCCAGCCTGGGCATCCAATGTAAGACACAACAAATAGAAGGTCCCTCAAATGTCAGATGAGAGTCATGAGATGCTCTCACCATATCCCTCGGTCCTTTCTGTTTGTTTATTTTTGCAGCCCACAGGCCTGGGTCATCAGGCAAACAGAAAGTGAATTCACAGAAAGTAGCCGAGCCACCTGGCCTGTCATTCATCCTGTGAAAGAGAACCTAGGATGCTGTGGAACAATCCTTCTGTACACTGTGAATATGTATTACTCTCATCGTAAAGAGCTGACTGGCCAACAGCCAGGCAGGAAAAGGTTAGGCATGACTTGTGATACTGCCATGTGGCAGGGCATAGATAAGAACTATGGGTTAATTTAAGTTGTGAGAGCTAGTTAGTAACAAGCCCAAGGTGTCAGCCGAGCATTTATAATTAATGTTAAGTCTCTGTGTGGTTATTTGGGAGCTGGCCAGAGGTCTCAAAGAAAATCTCTGCTTACACAAGGAGACACACCTCTAGTCTGTGACGTGTTATCTAGAGTACTTAAGGGAGGTGGGAAGACACACACTGAATGTGGCGGCACCACCCATGGATGCATAAACAGTAGAAATCGAGCTGAGCACCAGCATTCACCTCTCTCTGCTTCCTGACTGTGGGTGCCATGTGCAGCTGCCTACACTCCTGTCACCGCCATGGACTGTGTAGCCTTGACCTGTGAGCCAAAATAAATCCTGCTTGCGCCAGATATCTTATGACAACAAGACAAGTAACTAACACACACCAGGCAGTTGCTTTTTACAGAGTCACAGGCATAATGGTGGTCTGAGTGACTGGGGGTGTGCGCATGGGGGAGGGGGTGTATTTGAGGGGCATGGAGTTTCAGTTCCGCAAGCTGGTTCTATGATTGGACACAAAACAGAGAGAGTGGAAGTAAAGCAAGCAGACTAACCCCCATGAATGTGTGTAAGATGGTAAATTCCATGTCAAATGTATTTTACCACAATTTCAGAAAAAAATCAAAAGAGACAATCAAAGGAAGTCACAGGCTTCACACAGGGACGTGGGGAGGAAGCATTAGAAAGCGGACTGAGTGAGGGCTGACTCAGAATTTACTTGATTCTGTTGAGAGTCCACACAACAGCTAGGTGAAGTTCATATTGAGTAACCCACACCTGGCTGGAGCAGCTGATATCAGGCAAATGACCTCCACACCATGAGGAGGTCGGGGTGGTGACGTTCACTGCCTGTTGTGGCTGTAGCCATAATTTTTACAGGAGTACTCACACATCAAAACCACCAACCCCACCCTCAAAGCACATGTGGTTCATTGTAGATCAAATTCACCATGGCGAAGCGTGGTTTTTAGACAACAGTGCCGGACTGGGTAGATGGCTCATTGGGTGCTTGCGGCCAAGCCTGATAACTGACAGCTCCCTGAGGACTGTGGCTGCGTGAGTTTTGAGTTCTCATTCACTTGAATCAAGATTATTATTTAGGATGTGACCTCAGACCCATTTCTGATCTGGGCCAAAACAACACCTGGCACGTGTCCATCACCTTCTTAGACATGGATTTATAGTTTATAGATAGACCCTCTCAGTGTCAGGCACCGCGGAAAAGACCCGGTCCTACGGAGGGATGATCCCTGTTGGATCAGAGAGAAGCAGCGGAGCTGAGCAGCCTGGAAGGGAGGCGCCCATCTCGGTGTTCTCAAAACCACCTAGAGGCTCCTGAACAGCTCATGTAATTCAAGGAAGTGCCCATCAGGGGGCGCTGACACCCCCCCCAGCCCCCAGGAGGCACCAGAACTGGGACTGGGTGGAGTCTCGTTGCTATGCTACCTGTGGTTGGCGTGGGGTTGCAGAGTGCTCCCCGTGGCCGTACCTGAGACCAGGACTGCACGCTCGCACCAGCCCAGCGCCTCCCCCCCCCCCCCCCCCCCCCCGACCACGCAGAGGCTGGGCTCACCTGGGGCGGGCTCTCAATGACCAGCTCGTAGGTCAGCCCCATAGAGCCAAACCGCAGAATGTCCCCAGGGATCAGCTTCACCGCCACGTTCTGGATGTGGCATTCGTTGACAAAGGTGCCGTTGCGGGAGTTAAAGTCCTGAAGGACAAAGCTGCCCTCGGCCTCGTTGAATTCGATGAGCGCATGGTGGTTGTCGATGTCTGAGGACTGAGATAGAGAAAAACAGTCAGGGCCAGGGAAATGAAAATCGCAACATCCTTGATACTTGCTGCTCATGGGCTGCCAGAAGGGGATGACATGGAGCCTCCTTGCTGGGTCCTCATCAGTCCTCATCTGTGTGTGTGCGCGTGCGCGTGTACGTATGTGTGCATGTATGTACAGTTGTGCACATGCGTGTGGAGGCTGAGATCAACACTGGGTGGTGGTGTGCTGTAGCTTACACCAAGGTAAAACTTCCTGGAGGGAAGGTACTTAAGACACCAGATGTTGAAACAACAGAATGTTCATCTAAGGGAGTGGTTCTCAACCTTCCTAAATGCTATGACCCTCTAATACAGTTCCTCATGTTGTGGGGACCCCCAACCATAAAACTGTTCTTGTTGTTACTTCATAACTGTATTTGCTACTGTTATGAATTGGAATGCAAATATCTGTGTTTTCTGATGGCTTTATGTGAAAGGGTCATTTAACACACCCTCCCCAAAGAGGCTGTGACCCACAGGTTGAGAACCACTGTTCTAAGGAGAGGTGAAACATTCCATCCTGCTGGGAAGCTCTTTAAGCTAGGGAAGTCAACAACTCAAAGGCATCATTCAGGAAGTTCCGGGAACTGAGCAGATGCACTAGGTCCCTCCTTCCCCAAGCTTATGTAAGCAGTAAGGCTTGCTGAGAGACGAACAGACAGACAAACAGACAGACAGACAAGTTGGGCTTCCTGGAAGAAGCAGAGATACCCAGAAAGGGTATCCAGAAAGGACATTTCAACCTGTTAAACTGCCTGCAGGCTGTGCAGTGTCCTCCAGGTTCCCAGCTTTTGTGAGCTGTCAGCCATGCTGGGGTGGGCCTTGGTGCTGTCTTTGATCATTTCTGCTTCTGTAAGTAACCCTGCTGTGGGATGGTCTGTATGTCAAGTGTGTTGCTGATTGGTCAATAAATAAATCACTGATTGGCCAGTGGCCAGGCAGGAAGTATAGGCAGGACAAGGAGGAGAATAAAGCTGGGAAGTGGAAGGCTGAGAGAGAGACACTGCCAGCGCCACGATGACAAACAGCATGTGAAGATGCCAGTAAGCCACGAGCCACGTGGCAAGGTATAGATTTATAGAAATGGATTAATTTAAGCTGTAAGAACAGTTAGCAAGAAGCCTGCCACGGCCATACAGTTTGTAACCAATATAAGTCTCTGTGTTTACTTGGTTGGGTCTGAGCGGCTGTGGGACTGGCAGGTGAGAGAGATTTGTCCTGACTGTGGGCCAGGCAGGAAAACTCTAGCTACATAACCCCTCACTCATATTTCTGTAAGTGACCCCTCATCCATATTCCTGTAAGTGACCCATCACCCATATTCCTGTAAGTGACCCCAATAAAACTCACTGGTTCACCAAGTTGGACTTGGGTGGTGTCTGTATTTTGGTTTGTCATTAGTTCCCTGTCTGAGGTGCGTAGACACTTGTTCAAGTCTCCCCAGGAACAGTGTCACACAGCAGGTATCCTCACCACGCCTTGCTTTAACTTTCCAGACAGTGTCTCTCACTGTGCCATTGCATTGGACAGACTGACTGGCCAGCCACCTCATGGCTCCTCCCATCTACACATCCCGAGTCCTGGGCTTCCAGACGACCCAGCTTTTCATGTGGGAGCTGAGAATCTAAGCTCAGGTCCTTTCCTAGTTTGCTTCTATGTTGCTGAGATGAACACTGACCAAAAACAACTCGGGGGAAGAAAGGTTTATTTGGCTCACAGTTCCAGTTCATCACTGACAGAAGTCAGGGCAGGAACCTGGAGGCAGGAACTGAATCAGAAGCCATGGAGGAGTGCTGCTCACTGGCTTGCTCCCGGGCTCATGTTTGAATATCTTTGTTAAATGATCCAGACCTATCTGCCCAGGGTTGATACCACCCAGAGAGGGCTGAGGCCTCCCACATCAACCAGCACTCAAGAAAATGCCCCCCAGACATGTCCACAGGCCGATCTGATGGGGGCCATTCTTCAGCAGAGGTTCCCTCTTTCTGGGTATGTGAAGTTGACAACCAGGGTCAGTCAGAACAGGGTTCCAGCCACACTGACATTTTCAGAGTAGAGGGGATTCACGGATCTGTCACTACCCTCTGTTCTGTGTGATACATATGATACACTATTAATCTGTGGACAGTCCTGGCTTACCCAAGTGGGACTGAGTCACAGGAGTTGGGGGGTGGGGTACTTTCAAGAACAGAGGAGATAGCTCTTAGGTGATGTGCTTGCTTGCCTGGTAAGCATGAGGGCCTGAATTATCCCCATGTAAAAAGACAGGCATGGTTGCTCATGCTTGAAATCCTAGCTGTGGATCCCTGAGGCTCACTGGCCAGCCAGCTTAGCCTTCTTGGTGAGCTTCGGGCCACTGAGAAACATTATTTTTTAAAAAAGGTGTGTGTAGCCGGGCGGTGGTGGCGCACGCCTTTAATCCCAGCACTTGGGAGGCAGAGCCAGGCGGATCTCTGTGAGTTCGAGGCCAGCCTGGGCTACCAAGTGAGTTCCAGGAGAGGCGCAAAGCTACACAGAGAAACCCTGTCTCGAAAAACCAAAAAAAAAAGGTGTGTGTATGTGTGTGTGTGTGTGTGTGTGTGTGTGTGTGTGTGTGTGTGTACCTGAACAATAATGCCTGAAGTTGTCATCTGATCTCCACACACACATGTACGTGTGCACACACGTGGACAAATTCACACACACACACACACACACACACACACACACACACACACTGAAATCAGACCAGCCTTTCAGTAGCTGGATCTAGAGAGTGGTCTGAAGAGGAAGCACAGGCAACCAGCCTCTGTTGCTGGTTTTAAAAATGAAAGGGGCCAGAAACCATGGAATGTGGGAAGCTTCCAGAACCTGAGTATGTCCTCCAACTGACAGCCAGCAAGGAAAAGAGGGTCTCATCTCAGTAACTGCAAGGAACTGAATTCTTCCAAAAGCCTGAATGGGCTGGGAGGCATGCCGTCTCCAGACGTCAGGGAGGACCCCGGGTCTGTCGACATTTTGATTTTGGCTTTGAGTAACCCAGAACAGAGACCGAATCCACCCAGATTTCTGACCCGAGAGCTGTGAGATAATAAATATATTGTTGGAAACAGAAAGTTAACATAACAAGTGAAATGTTCTATTCTAACTTAGCTGCCAGTGGCGGTCCCCACCACTTCCCAGCAATGTGGTCTCATGACACAGCCACCACACAGGTCCCCCATTGCACATGCTCAGAACTGGTGACTGAAGGAGACACAGAGCTTGCCTGCATCCTGTACCCTACTGGGGCAGAGCCGACTCACCTACTTAACCACCCAAAACCAATCAACCAGTTTCCCATTCATTCTGCCTGCTCAAGAGTCTCTCTCAAATGCCAAGCTGCAAACCTTTTGTGGGGAGGCTCCATCTTCCAGCTATGTTCCGTACCAGATGCTTAGCCTTGCTCGTTCACCGTACCAAGGCTCTCTGGGCCTTGGCTTGCTGCTGTCTTAGGGTTTCTACTGCTGTGAAGAGACACCATGACTGTGGCAACTCTTATGAAGGAAAAACATTTAATTGGGGTGGCTTACGTTTCTAGAGGTTTAGTTCATTATCATCATGATGGGACAGGCGGTGTGCAGGCAGACAGGGTGCTGGAGAAGTGGGTGAGTATCCTACATCTTGGCTGACAGGCAACAGGAAGTGGTCTGAGACAGTGGATGTGGCTTGAGCATACAGGAGCCCTCAAAGCCTGCCTCCACAGTGACACACTTCCTTCAACAAGACCACACCTACTCCAACAAGGCCATGCCTCCTATTAGTGCCGCTCCCTTTGGGGGCCATTTTCTTTCAACGTACCACACTTGCCAAGCCAGAGCGTTGGTCACCGAATCCAGATCCTCACACTAGCTACCAGATGGCCTTTCTAGCCCCACTCTGACAGGTTTTGTTTACTCTGAGAACCTGTCCGTTGTACCCTAGGTAGGACTCAGTGGTTACCCTAGTAGTACAGCCTCAAGGCACTCCTAGGGAAAACATGTTGTTACCCTAGTTCCCCAGCAGAGGGCGCCAGCCCAACGTGTTGCCTCAAAGGAGGGTCACAAGAGCCTCTCAGCTTCCCTGTTTAACTGTTTGCTCTCATTGAGGATTCCACCGCTTTAGGTGGCTGTGACTGTCTCTGTGAGCCCACAGGAATTTTAGGTGTTCCCCGAGCTACACGGGAAAGCTTAGAGTTAGTCTCACATCTGAAACCACTCCTGACTGACTGTGGTTTTGGCCTTTCTAACACCCATTTACACACTTTGGTATGAAAGATGGTAATAACAATAATAGTAGTTTTTATTCCCTAGGGTGGCATTGTGTGTGTGTGTGTGTGTGTGTGTGTGTGTGTGTGTGTGTGTGTGTGTGTGTGTTCAACTGTGTGCATTCATGTGCACGCGTGTGCCAATCTCTTCCCTTAGGTGCTGTTTACCTTATTACGGCACAGGGCCTCTCGCTGGCCTGGAACTTGCCAGTCTGGCTTGGCTGGCCAGCCAGGGAGCACCAGGGATCCCCCTCAGTTACTCCTCCATGGAAGGGGCCTCGTGGACTCACCTTCCAAAGGTTTGCTTCCTAAGGGATTCTAAACAAAGCCTGCCAAGGTGACCGCGAGATCAGTCACAGGAATAAGGGAGGTGGAGGAGAGGCCTGCTGCTGGAATAGAAGAGACTAGCCGGGATGCGGTGAGCGGAGGGATCTGAAAGATGGGAGCCTGCATTTAACAAGCAAGCTCGTACGCATGTGGGAAGTTCGTCGGCCACTGGACGGGGACATTTCTTCATTCAAAAAGACCTGAAGCCCTTTCTCGGCAGAGCTTGAATAACAGTCCTGTTCACCAGGTGCAAGTTTTGTGTGTGACGGAGGCAGGAGGATCGCTTGAGTCCAGGAGTTTAAGACCAGCCTGGGCAACATAGTGAGACGCATCTCGTAAACTAAAAAAGAGGGGCTGGGGAGATGGCTCAGCTG